AAGTGAGTGCGCGAAACCATCTTTAAAAGGTGAAATACATTTTCTTCATGGTTTTTAATAAAAAAAAAAGAAGCATTGGCCCAACTGACGATTGAATTCAGTCTTTGAACATCAAGAAGTCTACACTATGCTAAAACGGAAACTTACTGAGAAATGTGATGTGTTAGTAGACATCATGTAGAGCCCCCAGCTGGTAACTCTCGGCGGTGTTTGGTGTCAACAATACGCGAGAACAAAAACAACCAAAACAACATTCGTTGATGTAGTTTTTTTCTTAAAGATAAGTTGTATTAAACAGTTAAGATATCAAAACTCCCATGATGCAATAACGCAGATATAAACAATTTTCAATACATTTTAAACTAAAACAAAACAAGACAACGGTGCCAATGCAATTTAAAATCTAAAAATTTGCCAACACAATCCACCATTTTATTTGTATCCTGAAAACGGTACAATGGCGAGGTCATTCTGGTCGCATTTTTTTTGGCGTTGGAAATAGGATCACAATGTGAAGAGCTATCATTTATAATGCAGTAACTGCGGGGAAAATGAAAGGAGGTACAGCCATAAACCTTTTCATAGTACATTAGAACAAAGACATTAATCCAATACCATTAAAATTAACCTTTTCATTGTACAGTTCAACGAAGCGCAAAGCCAATATAAAAAAAATTCAAATCGTCTTTGTACTCTTTTATCAGAGAGTACGTGTAACCCTCGGTGTAGATCGTCTGGTGCGCACACATGCACGACCCAAGGTCCTTTGGTACCATCACTCAAATAGGGCAATATAAAGAATAACTTAAGCAAACTCGCCTCTTATTTTGTTCATTTCAACACAAAGTGCACGTAAACCTCTGTGGTATAGTCTGGTACCAACGGAGATTTCAAATTCAATTGTAACGTCACTTTGAATGATCGGATTCAAGGTGTTTAGGTAAGAGTGGTGAGTTGAGCGAGTGTGCGAAACCATCGTTAAAAAAGTTGGTACATTTCTACTCATGGTGTATAATTTGTAAAACCTAAGTATAGGCCGAACTGTCAACTCACAGCCTGTGATCATCCAGGGCCCAATTTAAAAGCGCTGCTTAACAGCCGACTTTGTGCTTACCGAGCCTCCATCTATTTCATAGAAACCGTTAAGCAGTCAGTACAGCAAAAGCACGCTTAACCACAGAAGAAACCTTTGCTTAATTCAGTGACGTTACAATATAAATCTCCATGCGCGCGCAGCCGTTAGTATGAAATAGTTCTTAAGCAGCAGCATGATTTTCTGCTAAAGCAGGGACAACTTTTCTGCTTACTGTTAAGCGGTGCTATTAAATTGGGCCCTGATGTTTACAATAAAAGCCATTGTTAATGCCTTTTGCAGACGTTGAGAAAACCACATTTGTGATTAGTGACCGCTGTTCCCGAGACACATCGTGTATATAGTGCACAGTATGAGAACGACACGAAAAACGTATTCGTACTCCGTGGTGTCCGATGTAAACAAACGGAGAATTGTCCTCTTTTCTCGGGAACGGTAAGACATTAGGTTGGTTTCCTTTCAACCACATGTTGAAATAGGATAGGTAAACAATCTAAAACATGAAATTTTCGGGGTTTTCGGGACCTAGTGTTATTTTGCTATTTACCGGTCTTTCTTTTATTAGGTGTTGGGCCTGAGCCCAACACCTATTGTTATTGTAAGAATTTACTATATTTTTTATTTCTCCAAGACACATTCGTTTTCAGAACCGTTTGTCAAAATGAAAACACACATGAACTTCAATTGTCAATACATGAATGCACAACCCACTGAAGATGTGCTTTTTTGCAATTACGTCATTATGACGTCATCATAAGTCACGTGACGTCACTTCAAAAAATAAAACATTTAATCTTTGAAATTCAATATAAAATCAACCGTGAAAGACCGCAACTTGAATTTTGCGGGAATCGACATGATTATACATGCTCTTCAATTTATCTTGTGTGCGTAAAATCACATGACCCTTCCTTCCGGTCTGTGGGTGGGTTGATCTTTCCAAAAAAAAAATGATCGGTGACGCCATCAAGTGTTCGAGCGCCCTCTAGCGGCAGGTTAAAAAATATCCAAAACGCATTTTCAGTTGATGTCTGTGGCGAAATTTGCGGTAATTACTTCAAAATTAATATACATAATAACCTTAATGCAGACAAGACCTGTGCGCGAAAAAAAATGATTACGTCATCAGACAGGGGTTACAATGAAAAGACCTCTTTTCCTTTTAAAATAGCTAAAAAATCAACCGTCAGAGATATAATCCAGTTTTGAGCTTTAAATGGCACTTTAATAATAGGTCTAAAACTTACAAAGGTTTCGTTACAATAAAATTACTAGAAGATGCCCTGCAGCCCCCTTGAAGTTTGAAGTTGAACACGCCTACGCATTGAAACGCTCATATAATGCCACGTACATTGTGTGTACAGCAAATGGGGATAATTGCGTACAAAGGGAAAATCCCGAAAAAACAGTGGGCTGTCATTGCGTAAAAGGGAACTTCCCGTCATTATGATACTCAAAAATTGGGCTGGCAAAAGCGCCAATTTGGGCGCTTTTTTTAAATTGGGCGTTTTTTTCCCTAAAAACATGCGCATCAGCGCATTAGGGTAAAGAGGGTATGGCGAGCAATATCTTGTGTTGCGCCAATGGTGTGCAACCTTTGCTTTAAGAGATATGAGCTATTTGATGGGTTTTTGTAACAATTGTACTAGATCAGTTTACAGTACAGCAGCATATGCGCGTGCAGATCCTCACCTGACTCTTTATAACTATCCTCTGTATAATTACTCCACACGCTATTTTTCAACCCTGAACAATCAACATCAACAATCAACATCAACAATCAACAAACAACATCAACATCAACAATCAACATCAACAACCAACAATCAACATCAACAATCAACATTAACATCAACAATTAACATCAACAATCAACATCAACAATCAACATTAACAATCAACATCAACATCAACAATCAACAATCAACATCAACATCAACAATCAACATCAACAACCAACAATCAACATCAACAATCAACATTAACATCAACAATTAACATCAACAATCAACATCAACAATCAACATTAACATTAACAATCAACATCAACAATCAACAATCAACAATCAACATTAACAATCAACATCAACATTCAACATCAATAATCAACATCAACAATCAACATTAACATCAACAATCAACATCAAGAGTCAACAATCAACATCAACAATCAACATCAACAATCAACATCAACATCAGCAATCAACACCAACAATCAACATCAACAATTAACATCAACATCAACAATCAACATCAAAAATCAACATCAACAATCAACATCAACAATCAACAATTAACATCAACAATCTGACATTCAACATCAATAACCTACATAAGTAATCAACATCAACAATCACCATCAACAATCAACAATTAACATCAACAATCATTAACAAAAAAACATCAACATCAACAATCATCATCAATCTACATCAATAATTGTTAATCAATATCAACAATCAATAATCAACAATCAACAACCAACATCAACAATCGACAACAATAATCAACAATGCGAAAAAGCCAAACCTCTTGCCCAACACCGTGTGTTTGTCCTCAAACTCTAGTTTATGAATGTATTCTCTAAAGGAGTGTGGAATAAATGTCTTCTTGAATTGAATTGAATTTAATTAAATCGATGTTGATTAACCAATTTGAATATTACAAACAGTAAATTCGAATGACAAACGTTTTAAAAAATCCGGTAAAACCTATATTTTTTCCGGGAGATACTTCTTCAGTTTAAGACACAACAACTCATAAGAGTCAGTAGCAATTATTCTAAATCTTCAGTACATTTTTGCTTTGTGATAAATATTCCTCCTACCAAGCATAGTATACAAATATTGAGTGGATCAGCGTGGAATGGGAGATTTTACCAAGCGATAATATTCCTCCCATTTCACAATTTAAAGCCACTCAATATTTGTTTTATATAACTGACATATGGATCCTTGTTATTTGATATATTTGAACTTTTATTTCAGTACAAAATTGGTGAAAATGTATTTCTCTCTTCCAAACCACCCCTTCACGAAAATGTTTGAACCCAACGCTGAAGCGCTGGCTCTTTGGAACAATACGCGCTACGCGCAACGCTGAACGCGCACACCAACATGAATTTGCACATAAACACCGCGCCATGGAACAAGAATGATCCTAACTAACGGAATAAATGTGTGTTTCGGAGGTATTATAACACTCTATTTAAAGCCAGTGTGAGTTTGGATGGGTTATTATTACTCCTCCAGACTCACACTGGTTTTAAACAGAGTGTTTAATACCGACGGAACACATATTTATTCCCTTTCATAAATACCTTTTTGGTCAAAAACCAAATTTGTTCGGTCCAAAAATCGAAAGAGGTCAAAAACTAGACGCTGCCAACCATTTTGTTCAACAATTTTACTTCATGTTTTATGAAACACCCCTCTGACTATCATATGGAATGCCCCTCCACAATTGCACCTCCATGGTCGTGCGTACTGCGTGATGTCGCACAAAACGCAGCTGGGCTGGTGTAGTACGAATATCGGATTATGAAATAATGATTCACTGGTAGTATTGCGCATGCATACGTTGGGAATTTGAACGTTCAACTAATGAAACGTAAAAGGCACCGGATTTCATGGGGGTCCAAATTTCATGTGACACTGGAAAAGTGTTTAAGACCAGCTAGCCATGTCTGTAACATCCGTTTAAGACCGGCAACGTAACGGGCTCTCGACCAATAGGAATGCGTAAACGGTCTTGGGTATTTATGAATGTTCAATATTATTTCCCATTCCCCATGGGCGGATAGTACTTTTTGAGCCCCGGCGTAAATGGCAGTAATAACAAATGTCACGTGATGTGAGTTCCACCAATCAAATGACAAGGATCTGTATATCGGTTATTTAATATTTATTATCAACTTTAATAATATCTACCGTCGCGTTTACTTTTATATAGATTGAAAGTTTGTCAGCGCTGTCGGAGAGAATCGCGTGAATGCTTCAGCTGAATTAATCACGGCGACATCCAAGCAGCTCCAATCGCAGAGCAACACCTTTATTCCATTCAGTAGGCTCAATGCGCACCACCGTGGCCTCCACACTCTCATCAAACAAGTTAGTGACCGGGGTGTCGGAATCGGTGTTACCGATGAACACCTGAAAATGCCAACACAATAAACGCACATTTGTAACAAAATATCCTACTTCTATAGTCTAGGACCAAAACTACAAAAAAAGTGGGCATTCTTAGCTGACGGGATCTTCCTTTAAACCAGAATTTCAACAAACCGTAATAAGCATATAAAGTAAACTGTTTGTCCTGGGTTGGGACCCACTTTTAAGGTCATTTCAGCCATATAGACATCTCTTGACTGGGCTCATTAGGGTTCCTTTTTGAACTTCAGAGCATTTTGCTTTGGGTGGGGGAAAGCTATTTTCCCTTCAATAATCTTTATATTATGAGAGAATGCAGCATCAATCTTTTCTGATGTTTGTTCTTTGTTGCTAGTACGTGTCAAAAAATGTCCTGCTTTTGATCCTTAAAACCTTAAATCTCGACATCTTGCACAAAGCTAATTAAACTCGCTCCATACAATTTGTCATTCCTTGTTTACATGATCTTAAATTATGTTTGGTTCCATTTACGTTTTTAAATAACATTACATATTGAAATACAGCCCAAACAAAATATGAGAAAAAATACGTGAATTTTTCTTTTCAAAACAGTTTAACGTACAAAGTTAAATTTATCTTACAGCAAGACTTAGTAAAGAATGATGTTTACCTTGATGTCTCTGTTTCCATCTGTCACGTGTTTGCGTTGGGATGAGGGCTGCTGCTGATACGCCACCTTGTACCGCATCACGTACCAACTGCCGCCGGGGCTGCCTTGTGTGGTGACTCCAGTCACCACTGTACTCCGGACGAGGTCCACCTCGATCCAGGGATTGCCATCGGCCCTGTACACGGAGTGAAGAGAGAATAAGGAACAATGACGCAACAATACCCTGCAAATCCTGTTGTGGAACGGATTTGAAAATTAAATATTATTATTGACACCCGTTACAGTGTGCAATTCAAATGCACATGAGTCCGGGTTGAGTCTTGGCCGGGGATGATAACTTTTTTGATAATGGAAAGGAGAACCATTGCAAAAAAAACAAACAATGCAAAACAAAATAAAACAAACGTACTAAAACAAAATCCCACTGATGCAATTCTATATTCATTAATCAACACATTCAGGAGCGCTTTGTGGCATTTTAATGATACAGAGTGTATAAAGATATGAGAATGAAGTGTCAGGTGTGGTATTTCCCTTTGATACATACCTCCCGGTTAGCCATCTGTTGTGATTGTTGAGGCGTCCATCAGTGGCAGGGTAACCGTTGTTACTACTGGACGCCGTGATGCGATCATCTTGGATTGTCCCGTCCTCCATACCAAGGGGTTGCGGACTGGAACACTCTGCTGGCAACAAATGAACAGGCAAATGAAGGATTTATGCATATTGATAATAAAAAAATTTACATTATTGTGAGAAAGATAATTTGATCCTCAACTTTGTTTGGGAGTAAAGCGCATAATCATAACTGCACATTTTACCTTACCAAAAATCAGATTGAAAGTAGGGCCTCGTTATTGCAATTAGGAAAAAACCTTCCCCTCCCTCGAATTTGGCAGTGAGAAATATTTTGAATTTGGGAGAAAATTCAACGAGCATGACCAGCTGGGGTAGGTTGGGTTTCTCCGTACCAGCTGGTGTAGGTTTCCCCATACCAGCTAGGGTAGGTTTCCCCTTACCAGCTGGGGTAGGATTCTCCGTACCACCTGCGGTGGGTTTCTCCGTACAAGATGGGGTAGGTTTTTCCGAACCACCTTGGGTAGAATTCTCCGTAACGGCTTGGATAGGTTTCTCCGTACCAGCTGGGTGTGTTTCTCCGTACCACATGGGGCAGGTTTCCCCGTACCAAATGGGGTAGGTTTCAAATTGATAGTAGGGCCTTGTTATCGCAAATTTAAAAAAGCCTCCCCCTCCCTCGAATATGGCAGTGAGAAACATTTTGAAAGGGGAGTTCTTCTCAATACGTCAGGGACATGTTTGCAGATCTGGCGTCGTTTTACGACCAAGACACACAGCTTGGTCAATTATAGAATGAAAATGTATCATTGTGATATACTTGATATATATAAGTCGTCTATGCCATATAGGCCTATAATGAATTATGGAATGTAAACCAATCAGAGTGCTCGCATAAAATTCGCAAGCGATTCAAAATACACCCATATGGCCCGGTTTATACTGCATGCGAATGCGAATGCGAAGCGAATTTGACGTCATGAAATATTCGCGAGTTGAAATATGTTGAACTTTACGAATTCGCAGCGCGAATACTTTCTCTTTCACGCAGAGCATGAACCGGGCTGATGTTGTGTAAAAAATTGAAAAAGTTTTCTCCAAGTCGGTAATTTATCAGAAACAGTCAGCATCATTTGGTCTTAGAACTAGACTACGTGCATTGCAGCGATATTTAGCGTGCGTGGAACCAGTAACCGGTTACCGTTCGCAAAACAATTACCGACTTCAAATTAGGTTTTGCCTTTCACCGACGTTTTTAAACACTGTATACTCAGTGTGTGTAACAGTCCGTTTCAATTTATTTATTTATTTTTCTTTTATTTGATGTGTCCTTTCCTTTCCACCTTACAAGTAAAAGTTCCTATGCAAATGTATTTTCTTTTCCTGTGTGAATATTCAATAGCTATGTGCATTCTTAGACATTCTTCAGTTGGGTGTAGTTCTTTTGTGTTTGATTAGTTGGGTGTGTATGTGTGTGTGAGTATATAAGTGTATGGTCAGTGTGACTCCAGCCCACTCTATCACGTATGAGAGCTCTATAGACACCAAGACAAATCTCCTGCTGCCTGCTGCCTGCTGCCACACATTTTGCTCAGCAGAGTATTCAGACTCTGATGCAGAGCAATACGTATTAGCAGAGCCGAGCCGTGTACTGCAGCAGTGCCATTGTATAGCTGTTTAGCTGGGGCAATTTTGCTCCACTGTCTGCTGGTGAGCTGTAAAACCAGATACGGGGAACCTCGCTGCAAAACCGTGAGTTAGATTAATTAATTTTTTTTTTCTTCTAATTTTATCTGAAGTGGTTTAATTTCTTGAAATACGTTTATTTGTTCGAAGGATTATTTTGCCTACAAAATATAGTGACTGCTTAAACTTGCATGACCTGTGTACATAAGTTATGTTGAAGATTTTGGATTATTATTATTGGGGATCGACTATGTTAATTTGACTTTTCCAGAAAGTATTACTGGGGATTTCAGCCAGTTTGGGGGTCCTTCCACACCGCATGTGCATCCATTTGAAGTAGATCGGGACAGTCGCCTACTACTTGCTTGTGCCAAGACCTGACCTCGGGTACTACCACAAGGGCCAGACGAGGACTGGATTAACCACTTGACAGTTCGGCTGCTCAACTGGAAACCAGAACTGTATTGGGTTTGCATTGCTAAATACCCTGAATACATTTATTGTCATCGAGTCAAAGATAGAGTGAAGTCAAGTTAATTTGTGTCCAAGAACGAGAAAACTACTATTGTAATAAGAGTTGTTGTTGTTTTTTGTTTTTTTATAAAATACAAATTAAGGAAACCGTTCAGTGTTGATTCATTTTCAATCAAAGAAAACACAGAAGTGATCCCACTGGTGTAGCAACTAAAAGTTCAGTTTGTTAAAGTCAACAGAGGTGTAAATTGAGTAGTTTAACAAAAACCTAGTGTAAATAAGTCAGTGTATAGTGCACATACGTGTACTGTGTTTCAAGTATACGACTTGAAGATAATCTTGTTAATTCAAGTTCAGTGTAACACCGTTGCCATTAACGGAAGTGTAATAAGGTTTTTGTAAACAAAAAGAAACTTAAGTAATCAAGTTTGGAAACAGGAGTTCAATCAAAGATTTTTTTTATTAATTTAATTTCGTAGTCATAGTCACAGAAGTATACGTGTACATTTTTATCAATATAATTGTGTAGTCCTTCATTGAATGTTTTTAATATTAAAGTTTTTTGTAAATAATTGTCACTGAAAGAAAATTCTCCGTGTTGATTTATTTGCGTTGACAACAGTCTGACATTTTGGGGGCTTGTCCGGGAATTCGAAAAAAAAAAATCCTGTTGTCAGCTCAGATAAATATTTACGTGTAAATTTTGATGTGAGGATATTTCCATTGAAAGTTTGTAATAATATTTCTGGTTAAGATCGTTTTATTTCAGTGCAGGTTCATGCCGAAATCTGGTCTCAGCTCACCCGCGACACTCCCGCTGCGTCAGCCGCTTTGCGTGCTACTTACCGTGGTGCTTGCCGTGCTACTTACCGTGCTGCTTGCAGGAGTTGGTTTGGAACCTAAACGAGCAATCATGGAGAAGTGGGTTGAGGTTGGTAAAGAGATGGGATTGCAGGGTGGTGACTTAATGGATTTCATTAGAGAGAGAGAGAGAGCGGCAAAGGAAGAGAGAATGGAGTTGAGGTCGTTGAAGAAACAAGAGCAGGAAATCCTAGAGATGAGAATGAAAGTACATGAGGCTGAAAGCAAACCAGGTAAGGAGGTAAAACCCACTGTAACCACAAACACCAAGGCAAAGATGCCTAAACTCCCTAGTTTTCATGATGACAAAGATGACCTTGATTCATACTTACAAAGGTTTGAGCGCTATGCAACTAGTCAGAAATGGCCACCTGAGACTTGGGCCATTAACCTATGTGCACTCCTCACAGGTAAGGCTTTGTATGTATCTACCAGAATCCCAAAAGATCTTGTGAATGATTATGATACACTCAAGAAAGCATTGTTCAAGCAGTATAACTTAACCGAAGATGGCTTTCGTGTAAAGTTCCGTACAGCCAAACCAGATAAAGAGGAAAGCCCGACACAATTTGCAGTCCGTTTAGAGAATGATTTTGACAGGTGGATCGACTTAGCAAAGATTGCAGGGACTTATACTGGATTGAAGAGTTTGATTTTAAGAGAACAGTTCATTAGTAGTTGTAGCCCAGAATTATCTATCTTTCTGAAAGAGCGTTTACCCACAGATTTGGACAAGATGGCCAAGTTGGCTGAACAGTTCATTGAGGCCCGTGGAACAACATTCGGCCAGTTTACTCACCACATCAAGAAGCAACCAACCACAACAAGCTTCAGGAAACCCGAGTCGTCGAAGCCTTCTACAGCCCAGAGTCGTTCAACCACTTTTGTGCCGATGCAAGAGAGGATTTGCTTCGTCTGCAAGAAGAAGGGGCATCTCGCCAAAGATTGTCGTTTCCGAGGAACCCCGATGAGAGCGTCGAGTATGTTGGTCGATGATGGTAACAACAGTGGACATCCTAGAGTTAGTCAGTCTGATGGTGCCGGAGGATCGCATGGTGAGTCAACGAATAAGCATGATTGTAATTGTTCAGATTGTCCTAGAGGCAGGGAAACCGTTGCCTTTATGGTTTCACATAAACTCCCCTCTTTGAGTGATTGTTGCAGAGAAGACGATCATGTTACCCTCAGATGTGGACATCAACTGCCCATCATGAGTGCTGCCTGCCGAGAGCGTCTCACCGGAATGCCAGTGAAAGAAGGACAGATTGGTACCCAGAAAGTGTCCGTGCTCAGAGACAGCGGCTGCAGTGGTGTTGTGGTGCGACAGAGCCTTGTTACCGATGATCAGTTGACAGGTGAGCAACGAGCATGTGTTCTGATAGATGGGACAATCAGAAAGTCACCCGTGGCTAAGATCTCTATTGACACCCCATTCTACCGTGGTCAAGTTGAGGCAATTTGTATGAAGAATCCTGTGTATGATGTTATTTTGGGTAATGTCCTAGGAGTTCGGGATCCCAGAGATCCAGACGAAAACTGGTCTCCTGAGAAAACCACTGGTCCTGACCTTACATTAGCTGTCCAAACCAGAGCTCAGAAGGCTGCTGATGAGAAACCTCCTAAGTCATTGAAGGTGCCAAGCTGTATTTCTGATGTTGTCACTGCAGAAGATCTTCAAGCTGCACAAGAGTCAGATCCCACACTGCAACGATGTAGGGAATTAGCCAAGGAAAGTGAGTTGAGAACGGGTAAAAATGGCCACACATCCCACTTTGTAAAGCGCAAGGGTATATTGTACCGGCAGTTTCAGTCACCAGCTGTTGACAATAACAACATATTTTTCCAGGTAGTTGTACCCTCAAAATACAGGTCTCAAGTCATGAAACTGGCACACGAGTCTCTATTTGGAGGACATCTTGGATCACAGAAAACTTGCGACAGAGTAACAACCAATTTCTTCTGGCCAGGTATCCATTCATCCATTCGTCGCTTCGTCAAGTCTTGTGACATCTGCCAGCGCACCTATCCAAAGGGAAAGGTCAAGAAACTACCACTTGGAAGTCATCCTCTGATAGACACACCATTTCAGCGTGTGGCTGTAGATATCGTTGGACCAATCCATCCAGCTACGGACAAGGGTAATAGGTTCGTATTGACAGTTGTTGATTATGCTACCCGATACCCAGAAGCAGTTCCCCTCCGTAACATCGAGACTCCGACAGTGGCTGAAGCATTAGTTAACATCTTTTCTAGGGTTGGAGTACCTAAGGAAATCCTTAGTGATCAGGGTTCACAATTCATGTCTGGTCTGATGCGAGAAGTCAGTCGCTTGTTGTCAGTGAAACAGCTTACCACTACACCATACCATCCCGCCTGTAATGGCCTTGTGGAACGGTTTAATGGTACTCTCAAACAGATGCTTAGGAAGATGAGCACCGAGAGACCGAAGGACTGGGATAGATATTTTGGAGCTTTGCTTTTTGCATACCGTGAAGCACCTCAAGCAAGTTTGGGCTTCTCCCCGTTTGAACTCCTCTATGGGAGGACGATAAGAGGACCGATGTCTATCTTACGGGACCTATGGACGGGTGAGACTAAAGAGGAAGATACCAGAACTACTTACCAGTACGTGATAGACCTGAAGAACCGGTTGAGAGAAACTTGTGAGTTGGCACAACAAAGTCTGAACAAGGCCCAGATTCGACAGAAGAAGTACTACGACAAGCGCAGTCGAGACAGACAATTCAAGGTAGGTGATGAAGTGTTGTTACTCCTTCCAACTGATAGTAATAAACTCCTCCTACAGTGGAAGGGACCATTCCCTGTTGTAGCAAAACAAGGCAATCTAGATTACCAAATTGACATGAATGGTACTGTCAAAACTTTTCATGCAAATCTGCTTAAGTTGTATGTTCGCAGGGTAGAAGCCGCCAGAAATGAGCCAGTGGAGTACGCATGTGTGTCAGTCATCGTCGATGGAGAGTGTGATGAAGAAGGTGACAACGAATCTTTACTGCATTCACCAGTCTTGGAGGCAACAGAGTCAGTAGATGATGTTCTGATCGACCATGAACTTACCAAACAACAGAGACAAGAGGTAAGAATAGTTCTTAGTGAGTACCCCAATGTCCTTACTGATCTTCCTGGGAGGACTACAGTCGGAGAGCATGATATCAAGTTGACATCTAATGATCCAATTAGGTTCAAACCATACCCACTACCGTTTGCAATGAGAGACACCGTCGATGAGGAAGTAGCACAAATGCAGAAGCTAGAGGTCATCGAGCCATCACAATCCCCATATGCATCCCCAATTGTTCTGGTAGACAAGAAAGATGGAACCAAAAGATTTTGCATAGATTTTCGAGGTTTGAATCGCATAACAGTATTTGATGCCGAGCCACTTCCAACCCCAGATGAAATATTTGTTTCACTTTCACATGATCGCTATTTCAGTAAGTTCGACTTAACCAAGGGATACTGGCAAATCCCGATGAGAAAAGAAGCCAGACTAGCCACAGCGTTCCTTACACCGAATGGGTTGTTTCAGTTTTGCACCATGCCGTTTGGGTTAGTAAACGCCCCAGCTACGTTTAGTCGGATAATGAGAAGGGTTCTGAAAGGTCTGAAGCATACAGATAACTTTATTGATGACATCTTAATTCACACAGCAAGCTGGGATGATCATGTTGTAGCACTTCGAGTACTCTTAGAACGTCTGCAATCAGCGCAGTTGACAGCAAAACCAAGTAAGTGTGTCATAGGGGCGCAGAAGTTGGAATTTTTGGGACACGTTGTTGGACAGGGACATCTCCAACCACAACCAGACAAGATGAAGCACATCCAAGAGGCCAAACGACCAGAGACCAAGAAGCAACTTAGATCCTTTTTGGGCTTAGCCGGTTATTACCGGAGGTTTATCCCAAATTTTGCTGCATTGGCTGTACCTCTGACAGATTTGACAAGGGCGAAAGAACCAAACCGCATCACGTGGGGAGAGAGTCAGGAGATGGCATTCAACACACTCAAGACAAAGTTGTCTACAGATCCTATCCTTCATCTGCCAGATTGCTCCAAGCCGTTTATCATCCGCACTGATGCATCCAACACAGGCGTGGGAGCAGTTTTGCTGCAAGAACGAGACGATACAGGTCAAACATTTCCTGTGGCGTATGCCAGCAGAAAACTTCTACCAAGGGAGAGATCTTATGCGGTAATTGAGAAAGAGTGTCTAGCTGTCGTATGGGGAATCCAGAAATTTGAACCGTACCTGTATGGTCGTCAGTTTGTTCTCCAAACCGATCACCAGTCTTTGGCGTATTTGCATCGATCCAAGTTGGCGAACGCGAGGATAATGCGTTGGGCATTAGCTCTACAGCCCTACAGGTTCAGAGTAGAATATATCAAAGGGTCCCAAAATGTTGGTGCTGACTACCTGAGCAGAAGTGAAGTTGAAGGTGAGTGAATTAAATTCCCAGATGTGACTGCCTGATGAGAGACATCAGATTAAATTTGAATGATGTTTCCTAACCAGTGTAAATAAGTGTTTTTATGCCTACAGGTTTGAAGGGTTGACTCCCATCAAGGATGGAAAATGTTTTCAGGTAAAACATTCTTAAAGTGGGAGTGAAATGTAACAGTCCGTTTCAATTTATTTATTTATTTTTCTTTTATTTGATGTGTCCTTTCCTTTCCACCTTACAAGTAAAAGTTCCTATGCAAATGTATTTTCTTTTCCTGTGTGAATATTCAATAGCTATGTGCATTCTTAGACATTCTTCAGTTGGGTGTAGTTCTTTTGTGTTTGATTAGTTGGGTGTGTATGTGTGTGTGAGTATATAAGTGTATGGTCAGTGTGACTCCAGCCCACTCTATCACGTATGAGAGCTCTATAGACACCAAGACAAATCTCCTGCTGCCTGCTGCCTGCTGCCACACATTTTGCTCAGCAGAGTATTCAGACTCTGATGCAGAGCAATACGTATTAGCAGAGCCGAGCCGTGTACTGCAGCAGTGCCATTGTATAGCTGTTTAGCTGGGGCAATTTTGCTCCACTGTCTGCTGGTGAGCTGTAAAACCAGATACGGGGAACCTCGCTGCAAAACCGTGAGTTAGATTAATTTATTTATTTTTTCTTCTAATTTTATCTGAAGTGGTTTAATTTCTTGAAATACGTTTATTTGTTCGAAGGATTATTTTGCCTACAAAATATAGTGACTGCTTAAACTTGCATGACCTGTGTACATAAGTTATGTTGAAGATTTTGGATTATTATTATTGGGGATCGACTATGTTAATTTGACTTTTCCAGAAAGTATTACTGGGGATTTCAGCCAGTTTGGGGGTCCTTCCACACCGCATGTGCATCCATTTGAAGTAGATCGGGACAGTCGCCTACTACTTGCTTGTGCCAAGACCTGACCTCGGGTACTACCACAAGGGCCAGACGAGGACTGGATTAACCACTTGACAGTTCGGCTGCTCAACTGGAAACCAGAACTGTATTGGGTTTGCATTGCTAAATACCCTGAATACATTTATTGTCATCGAGTCAAAGATAGAGTGAAGTCAAGTTAATTTGTGTCCAAGAACGAGAAAACTACTATTGTAATAAGAGTTGTTGTTGTTTTTTGTTTTTTTTATAAAATACAAATTAAGGAAACCGTTCAGTGTTGATTCATTTTCAATCAAAGAAAACACAGAAGTGATCCCACTGGTGTAGCAACTAAAAGTTCAGTTTGTTAAAGTCAACAGAGGTGTAAATTGAGTAGTTTAACAAAAACCTAGTGTAAATAAGTCAGTGTATAGTGCACATACGTGTACTGTGTTTCAAGTATACGACTTGAAGATAATCTTGTTAATTCAAGTTCAGTGTAACACCGTTGCCATTAACGGAAGTGTAATAAGGTTTTTGTAAACAAAAAGAAACTTAAGTAATCAAGTTTGGAAACAGGAGTTCAATCAAAGATTTTTTTTATTAATTTAATTTCGTAGTCATAGTCACAGAAGTATACGTGTACATTTTTATCAATATAATTGTGTAGTCCTTCATTGAATGTTTTTAATATTAAAGTTTTTTGTAAATAATTGTCACTGAAAGAAAATTCTCCGTGTTGATTTATTTGCGTTGACAACAGTCTGACAGTGTGTTACCTCCCGAGTGAAAGTTGGAAAAAAATCACTCGGGTGGGACTCGAACTCACGACCTCCTGCTTTCTAGTGCAGATGTCTTACCACTCGACCACCGAGCTAACGTGATCGGTTGGCCGGTTCAAATCTGATGTACATAGCAGCGGGTACCGCATAAACTATTATAAGATGGAATTTTGCGTTGGGATGATATAAATCAAATTAGGTTTTGCCCTTCACCGACGTTTTTAAAAACGTTTTTAAAAACTTTTTATGCGGTACCCGCTGCTATGTACATCAGATTCGAACCGGCCAACCGATCCCGTTAGCTCGGTGGTCGAGTGGTAAGACATCTGCACTAGGAAGCAGGAGGTAGTGGGTTCGAGTCCCACCCGAGTGATTTTTTCCAACTTTCACTCGGGTGGTAACACTCACTCGGGTGGTAGGGTAGGTTTCTCCGTACCGGCTGAGGTAGGTTTCCCCGCACCAGCTGGGGTAGGTTTCCCCACACCAGTTTGGGTAGGATTCTCCGTACCATCTGGGGTAGGTTTCCTCGCACCAGTTGGGGTAGATTTCTCCGTACCAGCTGGGGTAGGTTTCCCCACACCAGTTTGGGTAGGATTCTCCGTACCATCTGGGGTAGGTTTCCTCGCACCAGTTGGGGTAGGTTTTTCCGTACCAGCTGGGGTAGGTTTCCCTGCACCAGTTTTGGTAGGTTTCTCCGTACCATCTGGGGTAGGTTTCCTCGCACCAGTTGGGGTAGATTTCTCCGTATCAGTTGGGGTAGGTTTCGCCGTACCAGCTTGGGTAGGTTTCTCTGTGCCAGCCGGGGTAGGGTTTCTCCTTACCGGCAGGGATAGGTTTCTCCGTACCAGCTTGGGAGGGTTTCCCCGTACCAGCTGGGGTTGGTTTCTCTGTACCACCTGGGGTAGGTTTCTCCGTACCAACTGGGGTAGGCCTCTCCGTACCAGCTGGGGTAGGTTTCTCTGTACCACCTGGGGTAGGTTTCTCCATAGCCGCTGTGGTAGGTTTCTCTGTACCACCTGGGGTAGGTTTCTCCGTACCAACTGGAGTAGGCTTCGCCGTACCACCTGGGGTGGGTTTCTCTGTACCAGCTGGGGTAGGTTTCTCCATAGCCGCTGTGGTAGGTTTCTCTGTACCAGCTGGGGTAGGTTTCTCTGTACCAGCCGGGGTAGGCTTTTCCGTAGCACCTGTGGTAGGCTTCTCCGTACCAGCTGGTGTAGGTTTCTCTGTACCACCTGGGGTAGGTTTCTCCATAGCCGCTGTGGTAGGTTTCTCCGTACCAGCTGGGGTAGGCTTCTCTGTACCACCTTGGGTAGGTTTCTCCATACCAGCTGGGGAAGGCTTCTCCGTACCACCTGGGGTAGGCTTCTCCGTACCAGCTGGGGTAGGTTTCTCTGTACCACCTGGGGTAGGTTTCTCCATAGCCGCTGTGGGAGGTTTCTCTGTACCAGCTGGGGTAGGTTTCTCCGTACCAGCTGGGGTAGGTTTCTCCGTACCAGCTGGGGTAGGTTTCTCTGTACCAGCTGGGGTAGGGGTCTCTGTACCACCTGGGGTAGGTTTCTCCGTACCAGCTGGGGTAGGCTTCTCCGTACCACCTGGGGTAGGCTTCTCCGTAGCAGCTGGGGTAGGTTTCTCTGTACCACCTGGGGTAGGTTTCTCCATAGCCGCTGTGGTAGGTTTCTCTGTACCAGCTAGGGTAGGTTTCTCTGTACCAGCTGGGGTAGGTTTCTCCGTACCAGCCTGGGTAGGTTTCTCCGTACCACCTTTGGTTGGTTTTGCCGTACCAGCTGGGTAAGGTAACAGTTATGGCGTATTTCCAAAAAAGTATACCCTTGAATTTTGCACAAGGGAACATTTCCCATGTTGCTTTTGTAAATGGGCTACTTGTTCCCGAGTCATGTTTTGAATTGCGCCCGAATTCAGCGCTCTAAATTAGCCCATTTTAGCTACGCGCTGTCGCGCACTGAACCGACGAATTATAAAAACCATGCTTTTCAACAGTTATTTCGTCAGTGACTTTTGGCACAGCTGCAAATGATGGACCGTAGCTTTAAGCCTCGTTGACGAGACACACCGCGTGCGCGTCCCGGTTCGCGCGTAGAGCGCGAAGTACGCACTTCTTATTTTATCCTGCATGTGCAAAAAATCATAGCGTCTATCTTCGCGTAATGCGCCTATCAAAACGTTCCCCCCCCCCCCGCGCTGCCCAAGGTCTGATGTCGGGATTTGGTCACGTTTTTCATGCCCTGGGGTGGGGATTTTGGTCACTCAAAATATTGTTAACATTGGCGTACCAATGGAAAGGCAATCAATAGCATGACTAGTGCGCCCCACGTATGTAAGTCGGGGCATGGTCGGGGATTGTCACTTAAATTTTGCCCGAAGGGTTGGAATTTTGTCACTTCAAAAGTGACAATCCCTACGTCTTGGGTGGGGCAGCCAGGGAGGGGAGGGGTAGGGGAAACAATTGATAGGTGCATAAGCGTCAGGCGTCGTCGGGAATGCGTTCGAATGACACTCTATAGGTCATCCGGCCTCCCCAACTCTCCCTTTCTTGCCAGTGGGGATGTACATGGAACATTTTCCTAGGTTTGTAAATAAATGAAATAAAAACGTGTTATTCTATGGAATTCTAAACATGTGTCTATTACCTGGGTTGTTTACTGCAGGCTCACATTTGAAGTAAATTTGAATTTCGTCAGAATCCTCACTCAGGAAAAGCTCGTTTAGGTAGTAGGGTACCCACTGGCGGTATGACGAAGCAGTGATGCACATCCCGCCCAGACGTATAGCGATACATTCGCACGGATCTTTGTACGGTAAGAACCAAAGGTGTGGGATACCAGATTGTGGGTGGTACTCCGATCCAATGAAGCAGACTTGATGGCATGAGACCATCAATACTACAAAAAAAAACACCATAAGAAAGACGCAATCAGCCCCCAATATGACACCAACATTGCCTTCTTCTTATCTATTGGGGCCTATTAAAGCAGAATGTAAACGCACTGCCCCAATTACCATTAGTATTATGCTATTTGGGTTTAATACGCGGCCGTCGCAGAATCGAAATGTTGAGGGGGTTGACCGACAAATGGGGGCGCTTATTCGACACTTTTTTGCCTATAGAGCCTGGAAGTTCACGCCTGGTGCGTGGCGCGTTTCCTGGACCTTCGAATCGGCATGATGTGTACTAATTGGCAATGGTTTTATTCCTTTTTGTTCATGAAAGCGCTTGACTGGAAAAAGAAAGTCAGCCAAATAAATTATGCTCTTGTTTGCGAAAATCTTAAAATACATGTCGGGTACTGTGATTCACACAATGGGCACCCCTATTGAATAATTGATGTTAGTTGATGAAAAATTGACAGTGCAATAATAGTTCAAGATACATTTTTCGATTTCACCGCTAATACAATGGAAGACATTATCGGTATTTGAGGACACCTATAAACGTAGCCATTCGTTGACGGTTTTACGGTCATTTCGCCGGATTTTGTGCATCAAGTTTGCACTCAGATAGTGCGAGGGGCGAGCTTTGCTGCGTCATTTTCTTCTTGGAATCTGACAACGGTCACCTATAGGTGTATTCCAAAACTCGGCTTCATCTCCATTTTGGCTTCGCCCACTTTTTGGGTCCCTAACCAGAAGATTCCAGCTCAACATTAGTCAATGTTTTCTTAAAGGAATACCAAACTGTATGATATATGAAGCAAGTTTTTTGATTAATATGATCGGAACATTAACAGCTTTTAAAGTCAAAGCGGTAACAAGGCTGAGTTTTGAAAAAGGGTTATCTAGTTTATTTTTAGCCCGGTGGCGGCTATCTGAGCTACAATTTATAGACGTCAGGACGAAATTGTGAGGTCAGGGAACCAGACTAGACGTTATTCACGATCTGAGGAAACCATTTTTGATTATGTTCCCCGAATCTATTTCACAAATTATAAACTGTTAAATGTGATGGTGCCAGACTTCTGTATTTGGCGTCCCATCCTCGATCAATTTCCATTATTATAAAGGTAGATCAATGATTTTTGTCATTATTCATCAAAGAAATTTGGAGTGAACCTTTCACTTCGACTCTCAAATTCAAAAATGAAAAAATTACCTCGCTTTGAATTTAATATGACCGACACGCGAATAAGGTGTAGTGATCCATGAAGGTTCAACAGAATAGCATAAAAGTTGACTGAACGTTTTGTTAAAAAGCGTTTTTCTACTTTTCTTATTTTCTGCTACCAGAAATTAAGCATATTGAACGTTTTGCTCAAACGCATTCTTCTACCTTTCTCATATTCTTCTACCAAAAAAACAGGTTTTTCTTTGGTCCTTCACTGGCGGTTCAAAAAGAGACATCTGCGTATCTGCTACGAGAAAAGCAGATTGAACATTTTGTCAGGTGGTTCAAGATCGAATTCAAAAGTGAACATTTGATTTTCTGCTACCAGAAAAGCAGATCAAACATTTTATCAGAAAAGCAGAAAGATAGGAAAATGAATTTAAGGAAAACATTCAATTTGCTTTTCTATTAGCAGAGAAGCAGAAAAGTAGAAAATGCATTTAAAAAAAAACATTCAATCAGCTTTTCTGCTATTCCGTTGAGCTTTTGGACCACCTTATTGACCCTACAAATGTTTGTATTGAATTTGAAATAATTTGAAAAAAATATGACGTACTTGGAAATAAAGATGGGGACACTATACCTTTGCTAGCCAGAAGGGACTTGACAGGGTCAATCTTGATAAGGTAAATAATACCGCACCTAACACTAAAATTCATTATACATGTGTATGTTACCAGTTTTATTTTCCATTTCCGTGGTTGCAAACTGGTAATATATGTAGCGGCCACCGTTTGGTTTTGAAATCTTTCTGTTTCCATACGCCGATTAATTTATCAAGATAACGTTTTGTTTAATTGGTTGTGACGGTGATCATAAAAAA